TAGAAGTAACTTGCACACAAGGAGTCCTCTGTTATTTTCCCGTGGGGTGGGGGGAAGGGGGTCGTAGGGTAGATAACTGCCAAATGGCACGAAGTGGCGCCGGCCACTTTGGAAGATCCTATAGCTGAAGCGAAAATAAACGAATAGTAAGGCACTCACGTGTTTAGCAGCAGCATTCGTGTCAGGCCGAGCTCCTTTCTTGAGTCTTCCCAGTTTTCGTGCCACCAGAGCAAGAAACTGCTCAGTAGAGTTGAATTCGGGAATCGAATAATGCAACATCAGCTAAACATATTATATGAATCAGCTGAAAACGACTGGGTCTTGGTCAACTGCAGACCTACCGTCTCTTTGGAGCATCTTCTCAATATTGCGATCACAGGAGCGATGGGATCCATTAGGTTATCAACACGAATCGCATTTCTTAGGGCTACCTAAATGTTATCATTTAACGGCTTTGAGCCACGAAAACTACAGAAGCGTAAAAAAAGCACCTCCACGGGATCGAGATCCTTTGCACTTAGTAAAACCACTCCAGGAGAATCAATGAGTCGAATGTGTTTGTCCAATTCGATTTCTTGAATTTCTCTGGAAAAAAACGTCGTTTCGAACATTTCGTTATGTTTCCCAACTCTTAGATGCTTCAAGGAACTGGGGCTCACTTTGTGATACCAGGCAAAGCGCCCACATTGCATGCACGTTTTCTTTTAAGACTGTTTATTACACTGCTCTTGCCAACATTTGGAAAACCTGAAAGATGCAAGGCACTAAATGGCATCGATATTGCTGTTGATAATATAATTATTGATAATGTGATGATTTGATTAATGAATGCTTGTGAATTTGATGATAATTCAGAGTGGGGGAGACAAACCCGCGCCTCCGCTGAGACCTTCGCGACTTGAGCGATTCAGCCGCGCGACTGAACTCTGCTGCCAATCATCGGACATCTGCAGGTGGCAATTTAACCTTATTCAAGACGTACTTCTCGGGTGGGAGAGAGAGAGAGATTTTCGCAAATATATTCCGTTAGAAATATCTCAGGAGGAAGGGGGATGGGTAGCGCAATTTAAAGAGGATAAACAAAATGAACAAACGGAACTTTTTCTCAAGGGCAAATAGCTGCTTAGCTGCGGCGTTCCAGGAATTTGCCGTTGGAGGGCTGCAGATCGCGCGGGTTTCGAAATCGCACGACTGAATCGCTCGGACTAGGTATAAACGCTGTTTCAACCATTACCTTCATGAGAGGGTGCACGAGCATAAAATGTCGCTGCTTAGTCCCGCTATCAACTGATCTCTCCCCGACTACCACAGCGATGTCCTGATAGAGCTAGTCGAAGGAAGTTCGCTGAAGTACTTACCGACTACTCCTACGCGAATGCTGGTCTTGATATCTTTGTTACGACAATAATTTCCCAACAATTTCATCACAAGGTCAGCTCCGATACACCTTGAGGATGACGAGTTGTTAAGATTGGAGCTACTGAATCGGCTCTCGAGGAAAAGGTGCAGTGAAACTAAAGGCGTTTCGACAGAAGGTGGAAATAATTACGAAAAGAAAACGAACGATGTTGGTGTTCTGTTCTTGAGTGCTAGCTTTAAATGCAATTGTCGGCATCTTGGGCCCGCAAGTACGTAAGCCACTTTGTAACATTTTCCCTCGGAACAAGGTCGATCTGAAATCAAAGCAGCAAATCAGAAAGGCAATACGGCACATTTGAACAACGAAAGTTGAAAATTATGGGAGAAAATGTGTAATCTGGAGGTTTGAGTTGAAATACCTTATTTAGAAGAAGAACAAGACGTTTACCACTGCTGATAACTTGTTGCTCAACAGAACTGCTTCGACTTCCAAGCGGGTCACGAGCGTCCAAAACCTAAGATGATGATCTCAAAAACCACCAGTGTTGATTCAAAGAAGAATAAAAATATCTACGGCCAGGTAGAACATTCGGAACAGGTCACCTAAATTTACCACTACAAACACTCATTATGAATATTCAAGGAAGGCATGATGGTTCTGAACTAGTCACCAAGGTAATCGTCCACAGACCGAAGTTTGTCCCTCCTCGGTTTCGGATAAGATCCCTTTTTTATTAGGGTGTCCGGAAAGTTTTGAGAAAATTTCGCTGCCTCACTTTGAGAAAGCGTAGCGCGCGAAGGCCATGAGCAAATCTGTAGATCAAAACATGGGAAGATAGAGGATTGTCTGTAGATCAAATCAGCAGCTGATCAATATTTCATTTCGTCATTAGCCTTTGTTGTAACCAATCGAATAATGTGCGACAGACACTACAGTCGACGCATCCTACTTCATCTTTACCGTTCCGGCCGCTCCGCCACTCAAGCGAGGAATGAGTCGCTGTCGTCGATGGGTGGCAATGCACCCTTTCTTGCAACCTGCTACAGGTG